ATAGGCTGTGTATCAGTGATGTAGGCTAAACCGGAACAGATACATCCAAAAGACGACTTGGCAAAACCGTTCATTTCTTGCTCACCTAACAGCCCTGGACAGAATCTCAGGTCAGGAAGGCAGCTTTCCTTCTTTGCTGCCCTTCATGGCCGGCACTTAATTAAATTAAAACTTAACTAAACTAAAACTTAAATTGGCTAAATTAAGTTCCCTTAATTTGAGTTCCCATGGCCTGAAATACTATCTTTGTTCTTCCCATTCAGGAACTCATAGATTGTCTCCCTGTTGGTCACTGGCAGGCAGGCCCCCATGACTAGGAGTCTCGCCACCTGTTTCTCGATTCTAACCTCTTACAGGCAGAGCTGGCTAAATGTTGTAAAGGATTAACCCAGCATACTCAGTTTTACCACCAACAGGCACGTTCCCTTGCCAGCCACCCAACTGATTTCTTCTAAATGACACCAGACTCAGGGATTGGGTATTTGGGAAATATCAGAGAAACTTAAACCTTCTTTAAAAAAAGGACCTGATCACAGCAGTCAAACTCCAAAGGATTGGTCTTTATTCATGTTACTCAGCTAAAATGACATTATCCATGGTGCAACAATAAAAATTAGGAAATTGCACTTACTGGGAATTTTAAACTGAGGTTCCTAGAGAGGTGCCTGCCCCAAAGCAGTGGTCCTTAGAAGTTGCTATGAACAACTTCTGCACAGGCTGATGACAGTATGAGGTAGGAAGCCTCTACCTCAGGACCACTGACTGACAAGCCCTTCTTTTCACGCTTTGGTTCTTTTCACGCTACTGGCCTTCACTTTCCACTCTATCGAAAAGTTGCAAAATTAGTACAAAGAATTCCCATGTACCCTATCCCTAGACTCTACGAATGTTAACATTTTACCACATTTGCTTTATTATTCTTTCAGACACACTGTCCCTTTATACCTAAATATTTTAGTGTGTATTTCATAAACACAAGCACATTCTCGATAGTATAATTTTCAAAATTTGGTAATTAACATCACCACAATACTATTATCTAATTTATAGATCATATTCTTATGTTTCCAAATGTCCCCAAAATATCTTTTATATCAAAATAAAACAAAAAACTTTTTTTCTGGTCCAGATCACACATTCCATATAAAATTGTCAAGTCTCTTTATTCTCCTTAAATCAATAATCTACCGTCTTTACTATAATGTTGACATTTCTGAAGAGTACGGGTCGTTATTTTATGCAGTGTTCTTCAATTTGAAGTTGCCTGATTAAATTGAGGATATGCATTTCTAGCAGGAACATTATAGAAGTGGTGTTTTTATCTCAGTGCATGATATCAGGAGGCATATGGTGTCAATTTTTCTCATCACTGGTGATGTTAACTTTGGTCACTTGGTTAAGGTGGTATCTGTATTTTCTCCATTGTAGAGTTACTCTTTTTCTCTTTGTAATTATTAAGTATTTTATAAGGAGAGACACTGAGACCCTATAATAAATATTCTGTTTCTTATCAAACTCTTATCCACTAGTTTTAGCATTCATTTCATGATTCTTTCCTAAAACAATTATAAATACATTGATTGTCAAATGGTGATTTTTATAATTCAATTTTANTTGTATGAATTTTATGATGAATAAAACTTGAGTTCAATAACTATGTAATACATTTTTTTTCAAATTTCAGGCCCCAAAATTAAGGTGCGCCTTATACATGGGGAAATACGGTATATGATGTTTCAGCCTCCACAAGCCAGTCCACCCTGGGGAACTGCCTGCATCTACTTACTGAGGCCCAAAGCTGAACTTGGAGAGTGTCTTCTAAAGAATGAGGCTCCCAGCAGTGGGCAGCCAGCATCCCCCTGCAGGTCTCTGCTCCCACTGCAGAAGTTCTTTCCAATCCTGTGACTCTGGGATTTGCCAACATTCTGACAAACTTTGACTATATTCTTTCCCTCACCGGCTACTAGAAGAGAGGTCAGTCCAAAGGCCAATCCCAAAGTGACTCATCTTTGAAAACAGTGGATGGTTTCGCTCTCCTTGATACTTAATTGAAAGCTATCTTTGCAAAGCTCCATCCAGATTCCTGTGGTGGGCCCAGCACTCAGCTGCCCCACAGACTGCCAGAGTAAAGGGAGCAGGAGGCAGTGCGAGCCATCTGTCCTAGAACAAGACATCTGGTCACAGGTCTGTGCCTCTGGTCGGGGCTTTTGGGGGGCCATCTGGGCCCCCATCCGACAGAGCTGTTACAAGCCAGAATTATAACAAGTGCTGGCGAGACTCAGAGGAGAGGGTGCTTGAGCTGAAGTCGGCTTGGCAGTGAGTTTGGCTGGCTGGAAGAATCCCGTGGCCAATCTATTGCTGTAAGTGTGTCCGTGGACACCTATACATGCCCTGGAGCTTACACCCATCACCAACACTGAATGTTGAGTTAGCAAGTGTGGTACTATGCATTTTCTATTGTTAAGGCTGTCCTCTCTGAGTTAAGGGAAAAAAAACAGCACTATCAATTTCAGGAGAAAAACGTCTAGAGAAGTTATGGAGGACACCAGGTGAGTATTTTGGAAACTTGAGCTCAGTGGATGCAAGGTATCCTGGGGGAACGTAAGTGGAAAAGAATTTTCCCAAATACAGGGTGGGTCATACTTGCTTTTATTAGATGTGAGGCGTTGGGCCCCTGGCATTGTTTCTTTATTGCCCCCACATAGCACATGCCACAGGACTGTGTTCCTCTTGCAAGCTTACTGCTATTTTATCCCTGATTCTTAGCTAAAGGAAACTAAGTATGGTATAATGGGACTTGCTGGTATTAAGGTGAAATATATTCAGTGCCAGAGAGGTTGAAAAGGTTGTCTTTAACCTGGGCCTTCATTTACTACTTTATAGCAAGAGCACATGTTGAATCCTTTGAGTCAAACCAATCTTAACAGGTTTTTAACCCTGTTGCAATTTCAGGGAATAACACACAACTTCATTGGTAATCTGATTCAGAAACTTCATCATTAAAAACTGAGCTAGGTTTTCAGTCTCTTCAATTAAGTGAGTTTGATTTTTATAATGCTTATAACTTCCCTGAGATTATGTTGGAAGAGAAGAGTGGTTATAAAGCTAACGGAGCTAATAATAATACCCTTCTGACCAATTCCCTTCCATGCCCACCCCATCCCACACCCCCACCAAAAAAGGGACAAAATACTTAGCTTAACATGTGGTCATCAAGCAGCCAGTCATTTCCTAATATGGCCAGTTCAGGCCTCCAGTTTCACTTCTGGAATTCAAGTGCGAGGAGAATGGCATTTACATCAGTGTATGTTTTCTACAACTCCTTTCCTTCTCTCTCCTGAAAGCCATGAAGCCTCTGTGTTGCCTGCTTTAATATAATTACGTCATGTGCAATGGCTTCATTTCCTGCACCTCCAATACAGGATCAGCCCTGACCCAGTACAATTTAACACTAATAGTTTGATACAAAATTAAAATCAATTAGGCACAAGATTTGAGGGCTCTCTTCTTATTAAAAATGAATAGTTATCCAAAGAAAAATGGTTATAGCCATTAAAAAGAAAAGTCAATACATTTCTGCTGACATAGGAAGATGTCAGTGGTAAGATTTAAAGAGAAACTAGCAAGTTACAGAAAAGTAAAGTCATTTTGAAAAAAAGTTGAACAGTGATTTAATCTTTTGAAAAACAATTTCCCATCATAACAATAAAGATAGTTATGATACATGTCCTAACCTTAGACTCAGGTTTGATTTTTTTTTTAAAGACTTTATTGGGGAATTGGGGGAGAGAACAGTGTTGGGGAATCAGGGAAGGGGAACAGATAAGTTGCTGTCCTTTTGTTCTTCAGTCTAGTTGTGGAACACGTTGCTTCAATGGCCCATGTTGGTATTATCATTGCGCTCTTCCCAGGTGAGGCAGTCGCTCACTGGCCAATGGAAAGCCGCTCATGGCGGCAAACGGCAGCTCACGAAAGCACATGCCAGCTGCCGCCCAGCTCCACTGCAGCCTACACCATCACTGGTGACTCATGGCAGTCCAGTTCCAGGTTGAACTATTGTTCACCATCTTAGCTGTAGAGGGCGCAGCGTCACTGGCCCTCATGTGGG